TCTAGACCAAATCTACACAGTAAAATAACAACGTATTGGAGTGAACGATATGGAAGAAAATGCAGAATAGAACCAGTGAAGAGCAGAGGTGCCATAGGCACAATCAGAGAACACTGTATATAAACATCAGAGGTCCGCGGTTGTTCAACATCCTCCCAGCAAGCATAAGAAATATTGCCGGAACAACCGTGGACATCTTCAAAAGGAAATTAGATTTATTCCTCCAAGAAGTGCCCGACCAACCAGGCTGTGGAGGACATGTGGGTCTACAGGCTGCCAAGCAACAGCCTGGTGGACCAAGTTATCACAAGTCAAGATGGCCTCAGGCCGGGCTTGGGGAGTAGAAGAACTCCCAGAACCCCATCAAGCAGATAAGCTCCGCAAGCATACCTGGAAAGGGTTCTGGGAGTTCTACTCCCCGAGCCCGGCCTGAGGCTAGGCTCGACTTGTGATAACTTGGTCCAACAGGCTGTTGCTTGGAGCGGCCCGCAGGCTGACATATCCTCTACAGCCTGGTTGGTCCAGCACGTCTTGCAAGAACCTGTCCAAATGCCTCTTGAATACCTCCACTTTCGTTCCGGCAATGTTTCTAAATCTTGCTGGGAGGGTGTTGAACAGCCGTGAACCCCTGATGGTAAGACAGTGTTCTCTGACTGTGCCTTTGGCACCTCTACTCCTCAATGGTTCTATTGCACATTTCCTTTCGTATCTTTTTCGCATAACTTGATCTGATGTTATCTGATATCTCTTCGGCAGTGGAAAAACCATCGTTACTACCTCACGGATCCTTTCAGTGAACACGGAGGAGCTGGGGTATGAGGAAAAGGGGAAGGATCGAGGGAGGCGCTGGGGGATTTGCCGGAGTTAGGGATTTCCATCCTTGTCTGGGTGTGCTGAACTTCGCCGGGGAGGGGGTGGGGGGGGTGAGGGGAATGGGGGAGGGAGTAGATCTTTTACACCGGGGGATGGAATGGTTCCAGATTTGGCACGGGTATTGAGCGTGGCGTAGCAGGTGTGGCTACAATTGTGGGTGGGGCTTCATGCCTACCATTATAAATTTGGGGGAAACATTCGCTCGTTCAGCCTTTTGTTTATACTTGTACACGCTCTATTGTTTTTGTTTGTGCTGCCAGGCCATTGTGGGTTTGTGCTGCCAGGCCATTGTGGGTTTGTGCTGCCAGGCCATTGTGTGTTTGTACAGCCAGGCCATTGTGGGTTTGTACAGCCAGGCCATTGTGGGTTTGTACTGCCAGGCCATTGTGGGTTTGTACAGCCAGGCCATTGTGGGTTTGTACTGCCAGGCCATTGTGTGTTTGTACTGCCAGGCCATTGTGGGTTTGTACTGCCAGGCCATTGTGGGTTTGTGCTGCCAGGCCATTGTGTGTTTGTGCTGCCAGGCCATTGTGGGTTTGTACTGCCTGGCCATTGTGTGTTTGTGCTGCCAGGCCATTGTGTGTTTGTACTGCCAGACCATTGTGTGTTTGTGCTGCCAGGCCATTGTGGGTTTGTACTGCCAGGCCATTGTGTGTTTGTGCTGCTAGGCCATTGTGTGTTTGTGCTGCCAGGCCATTGTGTGTTTGTACTGCCAGGCCATTGTGTGTTTGTGCTGCCAGGCCATTGTGTGTTTGTACTGCCTGGCCATTGTGTGTTTGTGCTGCCAGGCCATTGTGTGTTTGTACTGCCAGGCCATTGTGTGTTTGTGCTGCCAGGCCATTGTGTGTTTGTACTGCCAGGCCATTGTGTGTTTGTACTGCCAGGCCATTGTGTGTTTGTACTGCCAGGCCATTGTGTGTTTGTACTGCCAGGCCATTGTGTGTTTGTACTGCCAGGCCATTGTGTGTTTGTGCTGCCAGGCCATTGTGGGTTTGTACTGCCAGGCCATTGTGTGTTTGTGCTGCCAGGCCATTGTGGGTTTGTACTGCCAGGCCATTGTGTGTTTGTGCTGCCAGGCCATTGTGGGTTTGTACTGCCAGGCCATTGTGTGTTTGTGCTGCCAGGCCATTGTGGGTTTGTACTGCCAGGCCATTGTGTGTTTGTGCTGCCAGGCCATTGTGGGTTTGTACTGCCTGGCCATTGTGTGTTTGTACCGCCATAGCATCATGTCTTTACTTTTAATTTGTTCACAATTACATGCCATTTTCCCGCGTTGCTTCATGGTGATAAATCCACCCGTTTTCTCGAGTCGCCACTCCGTAAAAAATGCAACGGTGTGGCCTAACCAACAACCCCAAGCAATTTACCTAACCAATTGAAGCCGACGCACAGAAAAGGTCAATTTTACGGTGATTTAATTTATACTTTGAACGTATCGGTCATTAACGTAACAAATGCGACGTTTTAAGTGTGTGAACGGGGTTGGTGAACAATAATATCTGCGTTAAACGGAGATATTGATGGAATAGTTGATGACTTCAGTTACGGAGAGTCCATGTCCACAGTCCAATCGTGTTGATCTCTGGAATCAATGATCCCAGCGGCCCGGACTCCAACCAGTTCTCCT